TTGCAGCAACTTCTAAAAATGAAGGTTGGACTGCACTTCACGCTGCTGCTTCAGAAGGGCAGGCAGAGGTGGTGGTGCTTTTATTGGATGAAGGAGATAATGTCAACGTAAGGAATGAAAATTACAGAACACCTCTCTATGAGGCTGTTCTCGGTGGTCATTACAAAACAGTGAAAATATTGGTAGAGAGAGGCGCCAATAAACTTGCTCGAACTAAATCTGGAGAGACAATAATTGATGCGGCAACATCAATTAATAAACCAGAAATAATTAGATTGTTAAGTAATTAAATTAGTTTATAAATTATCTGTTTATTTATTATTTAAAGAAAAGTATATACATATTGGTCAAATTAGTAATGTAGATTCCTAAGGGAATAATAGATTACTAACTTAACTTTTATACTTTATTAACTGAATTAAATAAATATTAATTTTATAATATACATTATTCATATCTAATGATATTTACAATAAAGAATGTAGTTACTTGTAAGCTGTTTATGGATAAATTGTACAATTAATTCTGTAAAATAAATGGATTAAACTTATTTTAATTAAAGCCTATTCCCATTAATTTATTTATAAAATGTATACTGATTATTATAAATCTTTATTAAGACTACTTTCGTGATTTCGTCAAAATCATGTTAAAGTAACGAATGTGCAACTTTAAACAGGCTCACATTAACTCTCTTTAACATGGTGCCGAGGATTTAACATAAATTGTTGTATTTAGCAAATTTATGTTTTGAATTCATTTATAATTTAGTTATTAATTTTAATCTCATTCATAGTTCATTAAATTTAATTTCTTGAAATTTATCCTCATTAGGCAAGACAGAGGCAGCCTTATGCAGTAAAAACTAACAATAAATATCTAAATGTGCAATAAAACGTCTAAAAAAATTCAATTTCACTAATGTGTCTACAAAATGATTTGAATTAAATATATTTATAGAGAAGAATAAAAAATGAAATAATTTTTTTTTTTAAACCAAAATAATTAAAACATAATGTAATAAAAAAAAAAACATGAAATAAAATATATATTTATTAATAATTAACAATACCTTTCTAGAATAACAAATTATGAACAAACGATTTCGTAATATGAGAAAACTTGCAATATTTTTAATTAAAAAATTAATTGAAAGCATGAAAATAAAAGCCTATGAATTAGAAATTAGTAATGAATTTCTAATTCATTTGTTTCTAAAAATCTAATCTATTGTTTCGAATATTTTTATTACAAGAAAATAGTATTTTTACGACAGAAATGAAAGAAGAAAGTTAGTGTCCACTAAATTATTGACTTATTGTTTCCAACAGAAACTTGTTTTGAAAATGAACGAAAAAGTGAACCTTTCAACAAGTTTTGAAAATTGTTTTGTCTTTGGAATCATAAGGGTTCATTCATTACTTCAATTTTAAAGAAAATTATGCACTTAAATTTTAAAAAAATATAACTGCTTGTAAAAGAATGAAAACATTGAAATATGAGGAGTTTGGTATTTAGAAGTTAGAGATTAAAAGGAATAAAAAGGGAGTATTAAAAGTCTGAAAATGAAAAAAATCCTTTTCATTTTCATTTTCTAATAATTCAATAACTATCATATTCAATGACAATAAAAATAAATATAACTATTTTGTTATTATTTGCAGATTGAAAATCAACCTACAATTGTATCATAGATTATCATATTCAATGTTCCACTTTTATTCATTATTTCCCAATCATTATTAAAAGTTTTTGTTTAAAACAGTCCAAATATGCATTTTTCATCAAATATACAATATAAAATTTGACTAATTGCATCTGGGTACACTGATTTACATAGATACTTGATTACCAGTATAAAAATTGCATAACGTTCTGGGCGTTGCTTATAACATTAGTTAATATAAGTTTATCGCAGCACCTAAGAGAACAATAGAAAATAGAACAGATATATTAGAAGAATGTTAAATAATAGAATAAATATCGTAAAAGAAAAATGGATATTAGAATAGATATAGGGAGAGAATACTAGATAATAGAATAGATATAGTGAGATAATTCATAGATAATAGAATAAATATAGTAAGATAATAATAGATAATAGAATAAATATAGTAAGAGAATAATATATAATAGAATAATAGAAATACATAAGATTGAAGAAATAATTTGTGAAACATATTTTGATTAAATAAAAAAGTTTACTATCACTTATGTTTTATTAAACCAATAATTTTTACATTTCATTTAATCTAATAAGATATAATTTTAATTTTACTAAAATAATTTTAAATAAATCAAGTAAATTTGTTTAAAAACACATCAACGATTAAGTTCCCAGATTTAATTACAATTAAAAAAAGTGTTGGAAGCTATCTGCACTACTGTTTTAAGAGAAGATTAATACATATTGTAATATCTCTCTTATATTTTACAAATAATAATATAACCTCGGCAGATCACTTTTTACCGTTGGGATACTTCCTAAATAAATAAGAGGTTATTAAATAATAAACAAAATTATAAGATTGATAATATTAAATTATATATATTATTATTATAAAATATTAAATTGAAATTTATATTTACTTTATCTCAGATATGGGTTACTGACAATCAGATCAAAACACTCAGACAAACTATTATAATTCACACTATTTATACTCAAATTAAACACTGATTTTAAAATAAAGTCAAGTATGAATTGGCAAGCTAACCTTCTTAGGTTTCTTCCTTTGTTGCACTAAATTCATTTGTTTTCAAATGCTTTCCAATCTTCTGCCAAACACATCTTCAAGAATGGTGACACTTTCTTCTACTCAACTCAAGCTCCCTTGGAGATCCTCTCTCTTGTAATTCCAAATAACTAGTCTCTCTGCCAAACAACAAGTTCCAAGATGGTAACACAATTACTGGGTTTTAACCACTGGAGCCAGGATCCCTTCTCCCACTCCCTCTTCACCCCAGCCAAACACCAACTGCTTACCAAAACAAAATCGAATATTTGATAGTTGACCGTTGTATTATAAAGGAAGGAGATGGTCCGAGGTGGCGGTCATAAATAGGCTAAATAGTGGTAAAACTATTTTACTAAAAGTCTTCTTCAGGGAGGTGTGTTCAGCTAGGAGTTACACTTAGAACCAATGTAAAGTAGGATCGAAACGTTGGCTTTTAATAAAATAGTTTTACCACTATTTAGCCTATTTATGACCACCACCCCGGACCATCTCCTTCCTTCAAAACAAAACCCTTTGTCCCCTCTCCACTTTGGGATTTTCATTTCTGGGTAAAATACAGAACAACTATTTTCTTTTCCCTGGACTAGTGAAACTACATTAGCTTGCTTTTTAACCATTACAGTAATTTATTAAGCCATTTTTAACAACTTTCAATTAAGGTGTGTATATATATATATAAATACAAGATATAACAATATATATAGAATAGAATAGAAAATAATTTTATTCTGGGACGAAGTCCCTTCAGAATAACAAAAAATTACAAAATTAAAATGTTATATCTGGCCCAATAAAAATAAACATAAAAAGTAAAGGTAAAGATAAATCAGTAAAGAAAATATTAGATATACATACTATATACAAAAAAAAAAAAAAAAAAAAATCTATATACAAAATTCTTGAAACCTTTCGAAGACACTTAAAACTACGTGGTAAAATATAAATATACACTTTCAGAAAAAATAAAAAATACATTACAATCTTCTTAGCAGTACACTGTGTTTCTGTTGAGGAAAAAAAAAATAAAAGTCGAATCTGCTAATAAGTATTTCAGTTATGAGGTATATGTAAATACATTATTATGAATAATATGTAATTTTACAAAAAAGGTTAGCGGGTATCTGACTGTTTTTGGGACAGGAATTGGAATAGGAGGGTTTTGAATGTAGACAGGGATGAAGAATGCTGAATTTTGATTGGAAGGGAATTCCAAAAATTAACAGAGCGAGCTATGAAGGAGTTTTGGAACGAGGCAGATCTGTGATTTCTTTCATTGTAAAACATTTATAATAAAAGTATGTTTATTTAGTAAAAGAGAAAGTTAATTGTATAAAAATCATCTTGTGATGTGAACTTCTTGTGATGGCGCAATCTCGTAGCTGGCGCTTGAACTACCTGCAGGGCCACTACAGAGCTCCCCACAGAGCCGCTACAGCATAAATATATATATAATACATGATATTAAGGATTCTAAACATGTTTTATCTGCCAATCGTTGTTATTATGGCCTAAGTCCATTGTCACCCTAATTGTAAGTGGATACAGTAGGAATGCCACAAAGGGAATATTTTTCACTTTTTCTTTCATTAATGAAATAGTATCATAAACAATGGCATTGCCTTGAATTCGTGGGTTTTAAATATTTTTAAAGTTTACATTTAGTAAGAAAATTTCATTTAATTTCGATGAAGATGATGACGAGATGATGGAGACCACGTTATTTTAAACTTTAAATAACAATAAAAACTTACATACTTCATTTACATTGCCTGTCTAGGCGTTACAATGTTAAAGCTGAATAGATTATACTTTCAATGCATTATACTAGAAAAAATCATGTTGCGAAATAATAACGGTTCTAAAAAATGTTTTATTTGATTGCAGGTACTAACCACGAATTGGTTTTTTACCTAAATAATCGCAACTGCTTCCCCAAAACTGACTGTTTTGGAACTGACTGTTGGACAACATTACTGGAAGCTTTAATATTTTGCTGTATGGGTTATATATTATAGTAGAACCCACTAGTGGTGTTTAAGTGATTCTTAGAGTCCTAATTAATGTAATTACACTAATAATAACAATAGTACTTTTAGAGATGCTTTTTAAATAAATCATGGTTATACTTTACCATTTTGAAGGGAGGAGAAGCCTTCAGCCCGAAAGCCCTCCCCCCCCCCCTGGATAAAGGAAATAAGCGCCATGACAACGAGAGATCAGCACCGAGGGCAGAGGGGGGGGGGTACTCAGTGCGCACTGGGCCTCCCAGCTGGACGCGTCTTTGTCCTGAGTCTGTGCCGTCTTCGTTATCGACGAGTTCCGAAGTCTCTTTGTATCCGGTGAGCCATGTCAACCTTCTTATATAAATATAACATACGATAATTCATGTTTCACGAGCCTTCTTGCTGTTAAACTATCAGAAAAAGGATTGATTTCAAGAAATTAATTGGAAATTATAATTTTTTGGACCAATATAATATTACGGAAGAAATATAAAAATAATTCTATTTTAAATTATATACATTTAATCTCAATAGATTTTAAAATTCTAATATTCTTTTATACTCAAAGCTTCTTCGTGATAACAAAAAAAAAATAATAATCTCTTTTATTTCTTTAATCATTTACTATTAATTGTAAACAAATATTTTTGTTAATATATTTTGTACATTCATACTTTTATATATTATATTGAGAGAGTAAGAGTAGAACGTGTTTTTTTTGTAAATTATGACACTGCATCCATTTTGTTTATTATTATGAACCTTGCATCATAGTCATAAACATTATAACAAAACGATATGGGAAAAATATAATCCAATAACAATACATCCGTAAGTGAGGCATATTCTTTTTATCTTCGATTTCGGACCTAACAATTATTGTTATCGTTAGTAGGTAATATTTTTGCTTTTATGTTAAAGTTTATCTCTTTAAATATCTATTTATATAAATTATTTTTAACATTTTATGAAGTCATTATATGTTCTATTTCAGTTAAATTTAAATATACTCTTTTGCATGAATTATTTTATTCTTTATTCCTCACAGAAGATCCGCCAAAGGCTTCCAATCTTATAGGCTAGGTGAACCCGCGGCTGAGATAAGACTTCTTATTTAATTTAGGATTCTCCAAGTTCGCTAATCGCCATCATAAATATGACAATCGTAAAAAAAAAAAATTCTTTTTTTCAATTATCAAATTCTTTCAGAAGTTATATTTAGCATTTTTTCGTAAATTTTAATAATGTGAGATGTTTAATTATTTCAAATAAACCATATTAAAGGTACTTTAGAGGGAAGACGTATATACCTCTATAGCATATACCTATCTTGTATACGTAATATCAGTTTCTTACGACTTTTCGTTTTTGAACTAGACTGCTAACATACACTCAGATGAACAGACCATTTTTCGGGACTTTGTTATTTGGATTCAGGGGACCTCAAAACGTATATTTCCGTTGAAAATTCAGATTCAAAAATTTTCACGATCACAATAATCACCATTACTATATATTACATATGTAGTTATAGTTATTATAGTTATTACATATATAGTTACTATACATTACATATATAGCCTTTTCTTTGGATAAAGGACACGGTAACAAATTTAAAATGAAGTAGCAACAAAAAGAAAACTTATGAAATATTATCATCAGTGAGAAGTCGTTAAAACATTCTAAAAAAAATAATCAGGAAATAAAGATTTCTCCATCCTCAAATTTATTGTCCCCCTCCCTATTTTAAAATAATGTAACCTCTTTTGAGAACGCTCTCGCAATTATTTCAGATGAAATTCTCATTTAAAAGAAAAACATATTTTAAAACAAAAGAATAATGAATTCCTGGCATAGGCATGCGTAGAGGATGCCCGTTGCCTCCTCTAAATGTTACTTGTTGCTTGTAATTGTCCAATGTGTTGTGCCTTTAATATTCTCGAGAAGCAAACCAATATTATATCTACTATATTTTAAACTGACATTGATATTACATCTCATATTAATTATATTAGTGAAAGGGGCAATGATATTTTTTTGGGGGGAGGAGAGGGTATGCGCCATCGTCCTTAGGGGGATGGGCATCCCTGATAATAACTATCATGGCCAGATTAACAATAAACGTTAAAGTAGTTCTGCGTCATACGTTATATAACAAATAAAATAAAAAAGGAAAGATAAAAAATCGGTAGAAGGTGCAGTCAAAAAATTATCAATTATAAGAATAAAGAAGTATAAGAAAAATGAAGAACAATTCATGGACGAAAATTAACCGATACGTGTCCACAAAAGCGTTTAAAAAATAAGGTAAGATAAAATAATTTGATACTAATTTTATGTTGAAGTTCTAAATCAAGTTTCATATACCGGTCATTCAAATACCAATCATATAAGTATTAAACAAATAAAAATATTATTTTGCTCGCGGAAAGTCTAATAATATTGGCATGATCTGATTTTTTTTTTTAATTTTTTTTATTTAGACATATAATATTCTGTCACAGGGACAATAATTATATTGATAAATGAACACATTCACACCGTATATACAAAAAACGTCTGCCAAGTAAGGTCAGTATAGCTTCCTCACCGTTTCCGTTGTATATTACAAGGTATACAATTTTTCGTATGAGAACAAAATCTCTGAGAGAAGCAGAATCGGAATAGCCGATTACAGTTATCATTCAACATTCAACAAAAGAGTGTCGTATTTGAAGATTCCAAACTTAATTATGCTTAATAAAAACAACAACAAAAAAAAATGCATACTGAACATGAATTTCAATACTTCCAAGGTGTTAGTGCAAAAGGTCTTACGTAAAAAGTTATTTATTGTTTTACAAGAGTGCATAAAAACTCATTATTTCTTTATGCTTTATTAGAATAATCTCATATTTTATTGTCATCTGCTATTTTCCATAGTAGCAGACTACTTATAATAAAATTTTTACATACGAACTTTTGCTTTAATAATAGTGATATACACTACCGGATCCAGATTTAATTTTGGGAGAGGGGCTTCAGCCCGAAAGATTTATATATATATATCCATAATTAATTTGAAAAAAATCCACGGCAAATTATTTCGCTATGGTATATTATTTCCTAACAATTATACATATAAAGTAACATTAAATTCCTAGTTATAAATAAAAGGTGATTCCAAATATTGGACTCAACTTTTTTTTAATCATTAGTGAAATGCTAAAAAATAGCAATACTTCAGTAACACATTCAAAAATCAAAACAAAAGATAAACCTTTTGCAATAGCACATCTAAAAAAAAAACTAGAGACCATATCTTTGCTCCTAATTGTCCGATTATAACGATTTTTTTTTGTTTTTTAGGAAATTCCGTAAACTTTTAAAAAACCATATATAATATTGACAAAAATGTGTATACTTCTTGAGTTATTCGGAATTTAATTTTACCACCCCTCGTAACTTTTTTTTGAGCTTCTTTTCGTTGAAGTATGTTATATAGATAAATTTAGAGGGCGTAGAGAAAATGACTTTAGCGAAGTTTCATTAAAATCGGTACATTCGTTTAGGCGCTACAGTCTATATGCAACGCAGGTTTTTCGGCCGCCATTTTGAAACTAGAAGGCGAATAGTAATGTCGTTGAAGGAGGATCATCCTCGGGTGACCTCTGATTTTATATCCAAATTCGAAAAAAATCGGTCTAGTAGTTTCAGAAAAAATGCGCGGACGGCGGACTAGTAGTGCATATATAAGAGAAAGTGTTGGACAGAATTCAATAAAATTGACACTACATTATTTTTTCACCAAAGTCTACCTTTTATCTAACTTTGAGCCAAATCGAACGAGCCCTTTCTGAAATATTGGCATATCTAAAAATATACGTTTGCGCGTGCCTAAGCGGAAGTGCTGGATGGAATTTGATAAAATTGATATGGGACCATCTAGGCACCAATCAGCATAATCCCTGAAAATTTCATGAAGATTGGATAAACGGTGCTAGGTGATATGCCCGTCACATCGATTTGACTACAGACAGACACCGAACCAAATTTGATCTTTGATGTCTGAAACGTAAAACGCGAGTGAAAATTTTCGATTCTGAGCAAAAAAAATTTTTTAATCTCTCGCACGAACACAATGCTTCCCTACCTTCGGTAGTGAGGAAGTAAAAAATAAAATTAACAAAAGTAAAACAATAACTAAATAATAATAAATAAAAACTATATACAATAAAAAAATAAAATAAACTAAATATAAGTAAATTAAAAACATAAAAATACAGTCATACCTATATACAATATATACAATCAGGCGGGGGACCCAAATCCCTGCGCTACTCTCTCAACCGCCTCACCGGTGCTAAAGCCGGTGGAGTTTGAGCGAGAGCGCTTTAGCCACATACACTCATGTCTTGAGTGGAGAATCTGGTCATTGCCAGAACTCCAAAATAAATACTATAAAAGATCTCTGGGCCACTGCCGCTTCAACCTTCGAGGAGGGTTGTAGGGATGAGTGGAACTAGATAGGGATTGGGCTAGGGAATTTGGATGATTGATAAGGTTCTGATGGAATTTTGAAAATTTTTCAGGGATAAGGTCAAGGACAAATGGGATATTAAGGTCATGATGTAGGGTTTGGTTGGTTACATAGAACGGAGTATCGACTATTGTTCGGAGGACTTTGGATTGAAAGGATTGGATGAGTTTGATGTTAAAGAATTTTGCTGTCCCCCAAAGTTCAAGTCCGTAGGTCCAAATGGGTTTCAGGATTGTCTTGTAGATCAGTAATTTGTTGTCAATTGAAAGTTGAGATTTTCTGGTCAGTAGTCTGTAATCGCTAATACTGTATCAGTATCGCTAATACTGGTTTGATTCCAATGATTTTTTTTGTGTTTTTTTTTGGTAATTAAATTACCTTTCAAAAGATTTATTATAAATTTTACCATAGAATATATACTTAGCGAGTTAGACCCCTAAACATTTTTCTTTTCTTTATAACGTTTTTTGCTGAATTTTCTGGGAAATTTAGTCCATATAGGAAAATTGAAAAGACAATTATTAGAACATAATAGGAAAGTTTCATCAAAATCGTTAGAGCCGTTTTCGCGATATCGTCTGTAGACACACATGTTTTTTATTTATTGCGCAGAAGCTATTACGCACCCAATTTTTTACGCAGACATTAATCACAGACAGTCAAAACCCTACAAAATAAAAAAAAAGCGATAAAATCGGTTCAATGGTTCCCGAGAAAATCTTGACACAGACAGACAGACAACCATTGGTTAAAAATGTGTTTTTCGAAATCAGGGGACTCTGAAACTTATAGATCGGTGAAAAACCACATATCGGAA